ATGTGGTGCTGGGGATCGAACCGTGGTCCCTGTGCTTTGCCAAGCTTGTTTCAAGTAGGTGCTTTAGACCACTGAGCCATCTCTCCAGCCCCCTCAAATTACAGTTCTGTGGTACCACACCAGGCTAAAACTTTAACCTTTGAAATAATAACTATATGATCAAAGAAGGCTACAAAAACGGCATACTCGGGGCTGGGGAGATAGCTCAGTAGAATAAACGCTTGCCTGGGAAGTGTAAGGGCCTGAGTTCAATCCCTGGTTCCGAAGGGAGGGGAAAAAAAAAAGGCATACTGATTTTCTTTTCTTTTTATAGCAGTAAAGACTGAACCCAGAGCCTTTGCACTGAGCCCTGTTCACTTTTTATTTCAAGACAGGATCCCACTAAGTTACTACACTGCTCATGATGGGTTTAAACTTGTGATTCTTTTGCTTCAGCCTTCTAGAACACTGGGATTACAGATGCCTGCTACTATGCCTGGTGAAAAATGTAGAAACCCAAAAATACACAAATATATATATATTTTAGGGAAGGGTCTACAGGGTGTTCAGGGTCTCACTATTAGATCAGACTCAGTGATCTGCCTATTTACAGCCTTCCAAGAGCTGGGATTACAGGTGCACACCACCACTCCCAATCTCAACTGCCCCCTCAGCATGCCCTGGGGGTTGGCACGGCAGGCCGGGGGACTGAACCCCTAGCCCCTGCATCTGCTTGCAGGCACTTTAATCCGCTAAGCTATTTGGCCAGTCCTTACAATATACTTGTTTCTGTTAGTTTCCCAGGTAACGGTTTCTGTTACAGTTTGTGTTATTTTATAAAATGAGTCTCTGGGACCCCAGACAATAACACAAACACTGTGGTGCATATTGTAAGAACCGATCAAAGGCAGACAGGTGCTCTGCTGCTGTATTCTTTCTGCTTACAAACTCCATCTGAGCCCTAGACCACCAGAGATGAAGCCTGATATTTGGGGAAGGACCCTGATCAATGTTCCTCAGCGTAAATCAGTCTGTCTCCAAGTCCTGGTGACTGACTGTGCCACTGCACGCCATTTGCCATTACATCACACATCTTCTAGGGTCTGAAAAACTCCCCAGGTCCGGTCTTGAGAGGATGAGAGCAGTTAAGGCAAATGGCATTTATTTATTTATTTGGGGTTTTTTGTGGCAAGGTCTCACTATGCTGTTCAGGAGGCTGGCCTTGACCTCACTACATACCCCAGACTGGGCGCAAACTTGCAGCAATCCTGCTGCCTCAGCCTCCCAAGTGCTGGGATTACAGGCATGTGCCGTAAGACCTGTCATATGGCATTTATTATTATGAAATTTTTCTTTAAAAGAAAGAAGAGGGGGGGCCGGGGAGATGGCTCAGTGGAATAAGTGCTTCCCTGGCAAGCACAAGGGCCTGAGTTTAATCCCTGGTTCGGGGGGAGAAAGGGTGGGGGGGGGGGGGGGGGGGGGTAGGAAAGAAGAGCTGGGCGTGGTGGTGCATGCCTGTAATCCCAGCACTAGAGAAGCTGAGGCAGGAGGATCATTGTGAGTTTAAGGCCAGCCTCTTTAATACCATGGTAAGATCCTGTCTAAAAAAAAAAGGAAGCAATCATGTTTTCTTTTAAAAATCCCAATTCGTTGAGGTACACTTGTCACAGGGGACTGGTACCTTAGACAGCTGCATTGTGATCCTTTTACCCCCATCTCCCTCGATTTCCAGATGCCCTTCCCATCTCTTAAAAGTCTATCTCCCTGTTTCCAATTATCTTTTTTTTGCCTTTCAAATTATTTGTACTCAGGCATGATAGTGCACACCTGTAATCCCAGCCCTTGGGAGGCTGAGGCTGGGGGATCACTGCAAATTTATGGCTAGCCTAAACTACTTAGCAAGACCCTGTCAAAAAAACAAGCAAAAAAAAATTTATGCTTTTGGTTTCTCATACAATAGAAACTTCAATATTGAACTTTCTGTGTCTGACTGATTTCACAGCATTATGGCTTCAAGATCCACCCATTTTCCACCCAAGTCCACCCAAATGACTCAAATTATCCTTCATTATGGTTCAGTAGTGCTGCGTTGTTTAAATGTACATTCACCAGTTGATGGGCACATAGACCTCTTCCAAGAATAGTCTCCCTCACCCCAGGGTCTTGCTACATAGTTAAGGTAGTGCTTGAACCCACTATGTACTCAGGGTAGCCTCAAACTCTTGGTGAATCTCCTGCCTCAGCCTCTCAAGTGCTGGAATTATAGGCATGTGCCACCACATCTGGTTTAAGGGTTTCCTTTTTCTTTTCTTTTTTTTTGGTGGAACCGGGGATTGAACTCACACCCTTGCACCTATTCTACTGAGCCGTCTCCCCAGCCCTGGGTTTTCTTTTTTCTTTTTTTTGAGGAACTGGGGATTGAACTCAGGCCCTTGTGTTTTCCAGGCAAGCACATATTCCACTGAGCCATCTCCTGGCCCCCGGGGGTTTCCATTTTATAATGCTCTGAACGGGTCTCTGGGACCCCAGACTACACCTTCAGAAGTGCTAGCCGACAGAAAGAAATACAAATGGCCGAGGCATTTCATCCACACACAGCAGAGTCTTTTCCTGAGAGACATTCTGTGACAGCACTAACCCAGTCAAAAAGGTTTAGTTTTTGTGACTGCTCAAATTATGACCATGACCAAATAGTCAGCAGAAAGATAACTGCTCCATGATGCTTGCTAGGAGGGGCTGGCATGTTTTCTGGGACATGCCGGCTCTAACAACTCCAACTTCACTGTGTGCTACAAAGTTTGTAATTATGCCAACATATCTTTCCTTCTCACGAAGATGACGAGAGCAGCAGCGAGGCACATCCTGAGGATGAGAGTCTGGCGGGGTCTCGTGCTGCCAAGTCCTTCTCGATGGCTACTGGCCCCCAGGAAAGGCTCGCCTCTCAGCTGGTACTGCTTAATTAATGCTGTTGAGGCTGACACTACCCAGTGGCAAACCCACAGAATCCTGCGTGTTGATGTTAATCACCGCTGCTGTTGGGGTACTGTAAAAGTGGAAGTCAATTATCTTTTCAAAAAAAATCTATTCCACTGGGTTTAACTTAGGAAATTCTGAACATACTTAGTGGTTTTAGAAAAGCTTTCTTTTACCTTCAGCTTTCAGAAAAGAATAATGAGATTTCTGAAAAGAATAATGTTGCATTTTAAGATGAAACCTGGGAGAAATTGTAGAACTCTGTTAAAAAAATGAAACAAAACTTCTGTTTTTTGACCTGAGTGGATATTTTGGGTCTAGACTTGAAAACAAAACAAAACAAAATGTCAATCCTCTCAACTACTACTACTACGACTACTACCACTACTACTGCAACATTACTTAGAAGAGACACGACCACGTACACACAGAAATCCTCAGTCTCCCAGCACCAGCGTGATGGAGAGCTGCACCACAAAGACAGTAAGCTGGCATCTCCCTGGCAGTACTGTGACCAAGGAAATGCTGGGACAATCTTCAGTGCCAGTAAGCAAGGTTTCTGAAAGGGACTCCTGGTGCTCATTAATAGGACAGTTAGAGGACCTGAATCAATTATTAATGCCAAGAGTGAGGAACCTGGATGAAGTGCTGAACCTTTACAGCCGCGATGAGTCTATAGCTACCAGCTGTGTTCAGTGAAGGGCACCTGCGAGAGCACAGAACCACCCCCGGGCCCCATTTCCCCAAAGATCAGGTTTCCTTTGTTGGCTCTGGCATGGTAACTGTGAATGTTCACAATATTCTTTCAGAAAAGATTATTCCATTAGTAAGTTCTAAGAACATTCAAGTTCAAGGAATACTTTACCGCAAGATGATCAACAACAAACTCTTAATTCACAAAAGCACTGAGACATGGTCAAAAGGAAAGTCTTGTTTTTTCTCCTCACACCTGTTCTTACAATCTTTACTGATGTGACAGAATCAACCTGCTAGTAGCCATTTAGGACACAATTTGTATATGCAGGACAGTTTGGGATTGAACCTTGATTACTCTCTCATACCACACAAGCAACCCTGCTACCTCTTCAAAATATATGCAGTCTTGACCACTCTTCCCCATCTCTGCCTCTACCGTCCTACTTGTCCACACACCATCATCTCCTGCCGGGAAGACTGCAGGGCAGGACTCCCGACTAGTCTCCCTGCTTCCACGCTCCTTGCTCCACATTTCAGACACAGAACTTCTTTTATTTTTATTTTTTTCAGGACTTCTTTTAAATTCCAAGTTGATTTTACAAACACCTTGAAAATAGTAAATGCAGGTAAGAACCATCAAAAGACGCTATGATCACGGGGTGACAATCTGTTGGGAAGCGGAATGTTTATACAGACACAAAGCTATCCTTTCCCACCCCAGGAAACAGGCTCTTTATGAGGGCAAGAATCTGATGGAAACATCCCAAGACACGACAGCTACCTCATGAGCAGCAGCACAGGCTGTGTCCTGTGCCTTCCACTGCGACACGCTGAGAAGGACCCAGAATCACTTCCTCAGTGTCCTACAAAAATGTCCACCTTCAACCGATTCTTGAAGGAACAATCAGACAACCCAGTTAAGGAAGCACTCTCCATGCCAAGCAGCCAAGCTTTTTAAAATTATCAATGTTAAAAAAATGCAAAAAATCAAGATATATCATGTACAGGTACGATTCCCTATGATGAATGTGATCATTATGTACACCTAAAATGTACCAATAAGTTAATTTAAAAATGCCAATATTACAAAAGACAAAGAAAGGCTAAGAATTTGTTTCAGGATAAAGGAGACTAAAGACATAATTCTATAATAAATGTCAAGAGCAATTTTGGATAGGATCATAGAGCAGAAAAAGTTGCAAAGACAACTGCTGTAGCAGCTGGGAGAAATCTGAATATTAACCTCACACTATATACTAATATTTTATCAAAATTTAATTCTCTCAATATAACAGAGTATCCCTGTTTTTAGGAGATATACACTTAACTATATTTGTTTTATGTTTGAGAAAGGGTCTTTCTATATAGCCCAGGCTGGCTTTAAACTTGCGATTTTCCCGCCTCAGCCTCCCAAGTGCTAGGATTAAAGGCATGTGCCACCACGCCTAGTAATACCCTTGAAATATTTTGGTATGAAGAATCAGGAAGTTTGGGGGCCTGCCCCTTCGCTCAGTTCTTTAAGTGGCTGCTTCAACAAAGCAGTCAGGGGCTGGAGAGATGGCTCAGTGGTCTAAAGCACCTACTTGAAACAAGCTTGGCAAAGCACAGGGACCTCGGTTCGATCCTCCAGCACCACATGCCAGCCAGCCCCGCCCCCTGGTGGGCTGAGCTGGCCACACACACACAATAAATAAATGTAATAAATAAAAATAAATAAATATAAAAAAAGGATTTAAAAAAATTAAAAAAAAACAAAAAAACAAAAAAACAAAGCAGTCAGGCTCAGATTGCTGTGGTTCAATTCCTACAACTCAAGCCAGCCAAACCTGCCCTGAAGGCATTCGGGGCAAAAAAAAAAAAAAAAAATCAGGAAGTTTGCAATTTTTTTTGGCTCAGTAAAAAATGTGTGTGTGTGTGTGTGTGTGTGTAGGGCAGAGAAGCAAATACAGTGAAGTGTTAACTGGTGAACTGTTAATGGATGTCTGTTCACTGAACCATTACTATAACTGTCTATAGCTCTAAAATTTTTCAAAAAAAGTTTTCTTGTAATTGAAATAATGCCACAAAACCCCGCCCAGCACCCTGCCACCTCTGGATATGGTCTCTCACCGCCCTGCTCGTGCTTGGTTCTGTCTTCCCTGTGCCACATGTGTGACCACCTCAGGGTTCCATACTGCTTTTCCCATGCAGGGAACATGCTTCGCTATGCTCCTGGAGAGCACAGGTCGCTTGCTATTAGAGGCTTTCTCAGGTCACTCCTTCCAAGAGGGGCTACCTGCCACCCCTGCACCTTGCACTTTCCTGTTCCGCTTCCTGTACAGCACCTACTGTTACCTGACCTTCATCTATCAGCTCTCTCTTCCCATGCAGCAGAAGCTCCTTGAAGGCAGGACTCTGACACCATTTCTGGCCAAGTCTCTGGCCTCAAGAACACTACTACTTGCTTGACAGAAGAGTACTCAGTAAGAACTTGTTGATAAATTGACAGCTTTGTAAATTCTCATTTAAAAAACCCAGCACACTTGTTCACACTCCTGAAGTTTCTGGGTGAATGACTGCTAACCAAGTACTTGACACTTTTTCAGGAATGCCTTTGTGATGAAGCCTGCTACAGGAAGCTGCTCCATAGATAATTTTCCACTTCTGGAACTGCACTTGAAGCAGTAAACAAGGGTGCTAGGGGAATATGCACTGTATTCCCATTCCCCACTCACCCCAAGGACAGAAACCTTGTACCCTGCAATTCCATGAGCTGCTCTCCCACACCACCTCTCTTCTGAGAACTCACTTGCAGGTCTATGACCTGAGCTCCCCAAGGACAGGGAATGGCATTTCCCAGGGTTTCCTGCTATTCTAGGGTACTCAGGTCAGCACAAGCTGGCAAGGAGACAACATAGGACAATAGTTTCCCCAACAGGTGCCGACATGCGCCCTCTGAGAGATAGCGCACTTCCCCAAGTTACTTACGTCTGTGGAGGTGGGGCTGGGCAGGGACACAGGCTGCACAGGTGGAGGGAAAGTGAATGTGGTCTCTGTCTTTTCACTTTCGGGGGAGTCGGGATGACTGGATGGGGGGGATGTTGGGGTAAGGGCTCCAAACCCCAGCACTGCATTGTATTTTGGAGGACGACCTATATACCGAGAGAAGGGAACAAAAGGGGAAAGGGGGGAGGGAAAGAGAAGGAGAAAACGATCTTACATACCTTTGGCCAGTGTTCCTCATTGGCTAGCATGGAAAAGGAAGTGAGGTAGCAGACAGAAGGTTAATACAACAGTCCCAAGGGAGGAAGAGAAGCAAAGATTTAAATGTCATTAGAAACAACTACATGAATCTCCAAAGGTAGAAGAGAGCATGGGAGAGAGGAGGTGTGGGCATGTAAGAGGCCTCACTGTGGGCAGGGCGATCGTCCTGTACAACTGCAATCTGAGAGTTCTAGTACTAGGACCCACGCACCCCTGGCAGTGGAAGCCAGGGTCAGGGACACAGGTGCTTCGTCCCCGTGCTCTGCATCCTGCTCTACAATTCTCTGCACTTAGCATTCCTACGCTCACACCAGTGATTCTCGGTTCCTCTAAGGGAAGTCTTTAGCATTGCTGCTTTCCATGTCTCTCCTGTCTACACTTTCGTCACTTTGTAGCTGGTGAAGCTAGAGAAGGCAAAATGAGGAGGGAAAGTGCAAGTGAACTCTTCTCAGCCTTTGCTACTAGGGCCTTTGCGAGAGACCTTTCTGGCAGTAGGTGGGACCAAACAGCCACAAGAGGCTCTGGGTTTCACAATGAATATGAGTATTTCTGGTCTTGGACATGTTTCCCTGTAGATTGGAAGCTATCTCCTTACTGTACACCTCATTCTGGTGAACTACAACAGGGGTTGTTCCAAAGGCCTAGGAAAGGGCCTGACGCCAACACTTCTGCGAGGCACAGTCCAACACGGTGCACTTTAAATTAAAGCTCATCCTGTGAAGCTCCTACACATGAGCCCTAGGGGTGCAGGAGTTCTAGGGCCAGCTACTCATACCCTCGCACACGTCTAAACAATGGTCTTTATCTTCTAAGATGTGAGTGATTAGGAATTTAGCTCATACACCAAAGGAAAAGCAAGAGCCATACAGGTCCAGAACTGCTTGTGGGCACTGGCAGATGTGTATGTGGGACTGCGACTTTGCTAACAGTTACAACTGAGATTAGGATTACACAAGGTCATGATCCTTCAGCGACCACACAAATACTACCTATGCTACAATGGCAGTGTCTACAGTACAAAGACAGATCTTACTGGTTTGTCTTTTCTAGGGAATTCAGTGCTGCAAGAGAGGAAACTAAAGATGAATGTTCTTTGTTTATCCGTGGAAGGCACATCCCTAGCCAGAGCAAATGCAGGTTTTTCCCTCTGACCTTGGCAACCGACTCCAAGGTCTTCCTGGCTCATTTAGCCCCTGTCCTCTCAGTAGAGACTGCCCACCAGTAAGTGATTAGCTGTGGCCTCTAGCTGGGGGGCTTGTTTCTGAGAATTGTGTCAGAGGTCATTAAAATAGCTGAATACAAAACAACAGAAAATAACTTACAGCATTAGTTATTTTGGCCCAGGAATCAATATAAAATAATAACTTAGGGCTTATCATCCAAATATTTTTGGTTACTTGAAGGACAGGACTGCTGCAACATTAGAACGGTTCACTAAGGGTATGATATCTTTTTTGGGGAACATATAGTTGTAGTTCAGCCTAAGGCAGACAAAGGGTCAGGATGACTTTCTAAGCTTCTGATAACTCTGAGACTGTGTGTGCACACACAAAATTAGTATGCTGGTCCACTCACTATGCAACCTTTCTAGCCTGGAACTATAATTCAGGGACACATTCCCACGTGGAGAAAGGGACTTTGGGATGTATTACTGACATCAAAGAACAATCTTAGTACCTTGTTTACGAGCTCAAACTCTGAGCTATTAGACCTATTTAGACCTGCTGGGTGAGAGATGCCACCGCTGTTTTTCTGCACTGAGAATAAGGTGAATGCTTACAGAGGGTATGGAAGGTAGAAATAGCTCTTCAGGAGTCTGTTAGGGGGAAACTGCTTTGACAGTGACCTTCTCTTCCTTAGCTGGAGATGCCCTGTTCTCAACCACCCTAAGTTCTTTCCTTCCTGGAAAGTCTGTAGCCACAGAAACTAGACTCACATTCTAGCCTCCCTGGCAGCAGGATGACTGAGACACTATTAAGAACACCTTGGCAACAGCAGCGCTCTGGCTCTGCTTAATGATGTGAAGATGCTTCCTTTCACATGCTGTTCTGTTCCCTGTGCTATTCGTGGATGGCCTGGCAGTCCTGGGGCAGAAGTGCCGCATTAAGCTGCTCTCTTGAGTCAGCTCTGCCAGAACCTGACAAGTCAGCTTTTGACTCTGCGCACAGAACTCTCATAAGAAATCTCACTCCTCTCTCCCCCGTACTCAGAGAACAATAACAAAAGTATTTTCAAGGGATGGAGGAGTCAGGTCTGGGAAGGGTAATGGGAGGGATGAAGAAGAAACAACACAAAAAGCAAAAGCAACAGCAAAGCAGAGATACAAAAAGGCACTCACCTCTCTTCCGGGTCCCTGGATGCATTGTGCTGTTTAGGTAGGTGACTGCACTCTTCTTACGCTTTGGGGATTGAAAAAGGAGAGGTGATTGGCATTGCCATGAGCAAAAGACTGCCCACAACATGCCAGCTAGTTAGAGTTAATCATCCCAAGGTCTCAGGGACAACAGGTTTTATCAACTGTACTTGGCTCTCAGAGAGTATTCTAGATAGGTCTGCCTCTGCTTCAGATGAGAGTTGTGAAGTCAGGATGAATGAACATTTTAAGATATATCTGAACAACAACAACAAAAAAGACATTTGTGTCCGCTCAAACTTAGAAAAGAAAACTGTAGGGTAAGCAGTGAGTCACAAAAAAGAAATGTGATGAACCAGAGAAAAACCCCTCCTTTCACAGAGCTGACCGAATACAACCAGGTGCAGTTCATGGACAGGTTGTCAGGTGGGAGGCACTAAGTACCCCATGAATAAGGCACTGGAGGGAAGGACCAGGAGCTGGCACAAGTACCTCTGGCTCAAAGACTGCTCCGCTGTACACTGGATTTGCTGTTGTTCTTCTTTTTCGCTCTTGTCTCTTGCTTTGGATTTCTTGGGAAAAGAAAAGGTTCCAATTAGAAGACAGATACAGACAGCCTAAGTACTAGAACTTCACTACGTATCTACTGGTTTTCCCACAGCAGATCAGGGACAGGGACGAGTCTATTTTCCTGCAGCCTGCACAGAGGCAAGTACCCCCTGAAGCAACTGCGTAGGACTGGCTACTGTCACCTCTCAGGAAGCAAGGCCACAGCATTTCACAGTGTGGCTCCCTGTGACCGAGAGCTACAGTACGCCATACCTGTAAACAAGCAGTTCTGGTTTATTTTTAGACTGCTTGTGCATAGATCTGGATGAACTTTCTCCACAGACTTTGACTGAATAACAAAAGCTCACCATTCCTGAGCTATATAACCAAGCCAGGTATGGTTTTATAACTGTCCTTAAGATTTGGAATGATGGGAAAATACAGAGAAGGACTTGATAGATGAGCACTTGCCACTCTGTGCTGACACAATGAGAAAGTTCCCCAATGGTAGACAGAAGTGACCTTCATTCTGGGAGCAGGGGACATGTTCCTCAGGGAAGGATATGGATGACGCTAGGCAGGGGAGGACCTGACATAAGATGCAGGGAAGGCATTTTTTCTTCTAAAGGAAATAAAGTCCGAATTGGTTGAATCACAGTCTATTTGTGTTCCAATTTTCTATTCTAGGAATTCAATCAAACACCACTTTCAGGAACAAAGCTGTGGGCCAGTGCAAAGGCAGTGCCAAGAATATCTTCTCTTACCTTCTAGATGGTCGTGTGTTACCAACCCCAGAGACACCATGAAGGCAAGTTTCTGCGCCAGAGAAACAAACCAAAAAAGAATACACTTCAGTGTGGGTTCTCACAAAGACACCTGTAGGTTCCTAGTCAGGCACTAGGGAAAGCTGACACAGTGGGCTGGTGCTGGTGGAAGGCTGGATTCAGAGGAACCAAGAGTACTGGCCTCTGTGCTGGCGAGCTCCCAAGTGGCCCTGCTGTATTCTGGTCCAACAGGGTCAAAAGAAGAAGGGTGGGACCTACATTTCCCATTTTCTCAATGACAGAAATCAGCACCTTTTGAGGGGAGTAGCCTAAAGTAGAGTCTGCCCATGAAGTTCAGGCTGGCCTTGAACTCACTATGTAGTCCAGACTGGCCTCAAATTCATGATGATCCTCCTGTTTCAAGAAATTAGTATCTGGAGTGATGAAAGGTTCTTTTTTTCCTTTCAGAAAAAAAATCTTAAAAAGAGAATTTCATATGTGAAAACAGGGCACATTTAAAAGAGCCTCCCGTGTCATAAGTTCTAACTCCAAGTCACAATTTCACTTGTCATGACTAGGTTGGGGGTTCTCCCATTTTTACTGCCACTGAGTAGAAAATGCTAACTAAAAGCTACATGATTTTTAGGAAGGATAGCAGGGGCACTCACTATTATGATTTTTTAATTAAACATGGACCTAAAAATTATAGTGCAATTTCTCTCTGAAAATTATTTTTATTCTCTCTGAAAACCATCAGAAGAAAGGATTATTACTACCACTGCACCCCAAAGAAAAAATGTTAAGATATTTCAAACTAGAGAGAACAACAGATTGATTTATGTTCTTCTGTTTTCTGTGGCCTTCATTTTCTGTATACCTCTGCATGTGGTTTCTACTTAGACTAACTGATACATTATCAATTTTTTTCTCTGTTGAATAAAGAATATATTCAATTATTATCTATAATTATATCTTCAATTATTATTATTCCTATAGGATTATTAAACACTAGAGCTTGGTTTTTAAAAGTCTTGACATCTTTTCCTTAGCATTAAACATTATATACTTTGGCCTAAATTGATAGATTTAGCTTATTTGAGATACATCCCTTGAACAGGCTACTTGGGAGTGTGGGAATGTCCTTTATTGCTATCTTTAGGGTCCTGAAGAAATATTTTTATTTCAAAAATGTATCCTCGGGGGCTGGGGATGGCTCAGTAGAATAAGCGCTTCCCTGGCAAACGCAAGGGCCTGAGTTCGATTCTCAGTTCTGCCAAAAAAGAAAAGAAAAGAAAAGAAAAAATGTATCCTTTTCACAGCCAGAATATTCTGGTAAGGAAAACTAATCCCCGGACTTGCTACCCGCTTTCTGTGCTTCACACTGAAATGGTACACACTTTGTGGCTGCCAATTAGCCACACTCCTAATTTTCACTATGCTTTAAATTACAATCATGATTAGGAGAATGTGCTCTGCTGGGTCCTGCTGACAAAGCAGCGTATGAGCTGACATCCAGATGCCTCCTCTTTTGATCAAGCATCAGTACCCTTCTTGGCTTCTCACACCCAGCTCCTTTTTGCCAGCCTAGATCAAGCTCGCCAAATAACGAAGTCAAAAAAATCTCTCCTGGGGGGCATATTCTCAGTGACAGAATAAAAAGTTACTGAGAGTTCTGCCTCTACCCCTCGAACGCCAAGAGCTCATTTATTCCCTGTGCAGGGCTTTTGTTCACACGGAAGGTGAAGTATTTGTGGCTTGACCCACTGGCACGAGCTGCCTGTCCTGTGTGCCGCTGACGTGAGGTCCTCTTCTGCCTTTCTCCTTCCCTCTCGCTCTCAGTGCCAGGGTTCAGCTTCTTTTGATAAGGCATTTTGCTAATGGTTTGCTCTATTTTTCCTCCATCACTGTAAATCTGTCATTAATTCTGTGGATGATTTTTACATTTTTACAAGTTTCTCAGCAATTTGTACAGCATATACTTTATGGTTTAAATTTTGGTCTCTAACATTTATTTATTTATTTATTTTATTTTATTTTTTTTTAATGTATTTGGTACAGGTTCTCACTATGCAGCTTGGACTCGTAGTGATCCTCCTGTTTTCAGCGCCCCCAGTGCTGGGATCACAGGCGTGCACCACCACACCCAGACTTGGTTGCTGGCTCAGCATGCCCAGGGATAGGGCCGGTGCAGCATGTAGTACTTGGCATTGAACCCCGGTCCCAACGCTTGCCTAAGTAGGCACTTAGTCCGCTGAGCTATCTCACAGGCCTGGTACTTATTTTAGAAAATATGGATTAACTCAATATATCACTGTTTCTTTTATAATTAAAAAAAAAATGAGGCTTTGATGCTTTCACGCCACTACCTGACAGTTTCAATACAAAGAATGTAGTAAGGGCAGAGGGAAAAGGATTACTGGTCTAATAAAATCCATCTATCAGATATCATCATATTATTTTTCCATATTTTTCTTTTATAGTTTGTGCAAAAGCATCACGCTAAAATATTCTCTTGTACCAGGGTCCTGTGTGTTCTTTACCATTTTACCTAAAGTTGTAGTACAGATGCTATTATTTGTCATACCTTCTTTTGTGCTTTTCTTTGTGGGCTACTGTTTCATTTGAGATTTGGAGTTCTAATCAATAAAATGGTAATAATTAAAATGCACATTTAATTCCTATAACCAATAATGTAAACAGATATTAGCTGAGTGAACTGGACATCTTACAAATGTGTGAGAAAAAACAAAACATAATAATCATTTGGAATAAAGTAGGATAGTCAGGATCATTATGCATATTTCCAAAGTACGGTATGTACACAAACAAAGTCATCTTAAAACTCTTTCTTTGAAATACTAAAATACACGGCAGTGCAAGTCCTCTGAGGACCACACTCTAAGAAGTCTGCCTGAGGCCAACCTGACTTGGCAGTAATATTGCTGAATTAGAGAACGCGTAAGAATGGAAAGGTGGCATGGCTCACAGCAGGTGTCTCTCCTACCGTGTGTGCACACACCCCACACCATGGACTGGAAAGATGGGCCTACCTGTGGGTTTTCTTCCCGTTTTGGTTTGGGTGCAGCAGGAGGGGTGATGGTACGACTTTCTGTTTGTTTTTCATCTGTTTCTGCGTGAGATTTAACTGCCTAGGAGAGAAAAATTAAATGAAGATTCAAAATTCATTTTTTATTAAAACACAAAGACAAGAAGTTTAACTGTGGCCAAGATGAAACAAAAAAATGTACTCAAATTTGGAACATATTAATAGAGGAGTTCATATTATGGCTTTCAAGGGGGGGTAAAATTTTAAAATCCAACTGAAGATATTAGATAACAAAATGCAGCAAGTAGGGCTCTATAATGCAATGGTCTAAATTACACAGAGAAACATCCATGGCATAATTCCTGTATATCAAAATGAAGTACAGGCTGCTCTCTCTGCTTTCGGTATTTTGCAGGAAGCAGGTATAGTGTCCCAGAAGCAAGGCCACTGTCCTACATGCGTCAAGCTCCAGCCCACAGCTCACTACAGAGCTAACAGATGTTCACCACCTTCCATGTATGCTCTTCTTCAGAATAACCCCAATTTTTAGACAGAATGAAGAACTCTCTTTATTTGGGATATTTAAAGTCTGCCTATATCACATCTACTAGGAAGAGATACAGTTGTCAAGAAAGGGCCAGTTTTCAAAAGGTTGTAGTCCTGATTACTGTGAACCCCTTTTAGAAGAATCTACATGAACAGAAGAACACCAGTTACATTACTATATCCAAACAGAAATGGTAGCTAACACACAGTTTACCTGTGCTCTTTTTTTTTTAAATTTTATTTATTTATTTATTTGTGTGTGTGTGTGTGTGTGTGTGGCCAGCTCAGCCCACCAGGGGGCGGGGCTGGCTGGCATGTGGTGCTGGGGGATTGAACCATGGTCCCTGTGCTTTGCTAAGCTTGCTCTAAATAGGTGCTTTAGACCACTGAGCCATCTCACCAGCCCCTACCTGTGCTCTTATTACGAGTTTTGCCATGACCTAATGGGCCAATTAGTTTTATGTTCTATAAATACACTAACCGTTTTAGAACAGAATGGATATAAAACTATAAATACAAACCTGAATTACTTTTTCAAAATTGAAAAAAAATTGTGGGTGTGATGGTCTTTTTGTATGGTAATCACAAGTAATTAGAAAATTAGAGTGGAATTATCTCATTATCCACAGGCAGGAGCCAAAGTGCAAGACTGGTCCTCCAAACACAACATCAAAAGTTGCTGAAAATCATAAAGCTACAAAATGTGGCTGGGGAGATAGCTCAGTGGTCTAAGTGCCTGCCTGGCAAGTGCAAGGACTGGAGTTCAATCCTTGGAACCCTGGGTGTGGTGGTGCACACCTGTAATCTCAGTGCTGGGGAGGCTGAGAGAGGAGAATCACTGAGCCTTAACTTCAGAGTGAGATCCTGTGTCCAATTTAAAAAAAAAAAGTTTTACTAGACTTGAGAAATGAACACAATCGAGCCGGGCGTGGTGGTGCATGCCTGTAATCCCAGCACTCAGGAGGCTGAGGCAGGAGGATCATTGCGAGTTCGAGACCAGCCTGGGCTACAAATTGAGCTAAGGCCAGCCTGAACTGCTTGGTGAGACCCTGTCTCAAAAAGACAAAGAAAAAAAAAAAAAAAAGAAAGAAAGAAAAAGAAAAGAAAAACAGAAATGAACAAAGCCACAAAGCTCTTTCACACTCCTGGCCACTTTGTATTTCCCCGTTTTCCACATTATTACATCCAGAAAATGTACTCATCTATCCAATCAGTACTGTGGCAACTATCAGGCCAATCTCTTCTTCCAGCCATTCAGTACATCTCCCTTTACTATAGGCTACTTGAGAGTTGGGACTGTTTTATATAAGCCTTCCAGAGAAGTGTTTATTCCACTAAGCCAGCTTTTTTTTTCAGAACTAGGGATTGAACTCAGCCCCTTACGCTTGCCAGGGAAGCATTTAATCCACTGAGCCATCTCCCATGCCCCCAACAAGCCTTATTTTCTCACCCCTATGTGAAAGGCAAGTACCTCTGAAACAAAAGAAATAAACAAGCAGCCAGCAAGTACCTCCTGTTTTGCAGGGATATAATAAAGACCTGACTGATGTTCTGAGGAACCATATGTCCTACCAGGAGTGTGATTTCAAGCCTGCTTCTTTCACTTCTGTCTTCTGTCCTTGTGCTCTCTCTCTACTCTCTGTCCCTCTTCCCCCTCTCTTACACACACACACACACACACACACACACACACACACACAGTTTTAAATTTATTTAGGACAGCGTCTACAGGGCCTTACTACGTAGACTGGACTCGTAGTGATTCTCCAGTTTACAGCCTGCCAAGAGCTGGGATGACAGGCGTGTGCCACCACACCCAGTCTCAATCCCCACCCTCTCAGTGCACCCCAGGGGCGTGGGTGGCACGGCACGCTGAGGGTAGAACCCTGGCCTTTGCTCTCCTCCAAAGCAGGCAAAGCAGGCGCTTTAGTCCCCTGAGCTATCTGGCTGGCCCTACAGTTTTAAATTTAAACAAAAAGGACATTTCTGGGAGCCTGCTGTGCCAGCCCCGCCCCCGGGGGCCTTGCTGAGGCTTCGAGCCTGTGAATCCCAGCATTTGGGAGGCTGTGAACAGGGCAATCACTACGAGTCTGATCTAGGAGTGAGATCCTGAGCACCTGTAGACCCTTCCCTAAAGATATATTAAAAAAAAAAAAAAAAAAGGACATGTTTTCTCCATGAAACAAATCTCCAAGGGCCAGCCAAATACCTCAGCGGGTTAAAACACCTGGCACAGGGGCCAGGGGTTCAATCCCCGGGCCTGCCCTGCTGGCCCCGCCCGGGGCGCCCACAGAGGGCAGTTGAGACTGGGCCTGATGCCACGTGCCTGTAATCCCAGTTCTCGGGAGGCTGTAAACAGGCGGAAGTGAGACCCTGAACACCCTACAGATCCTTCCCTCAAATACAAACAAAACAAAACAAAAAGCCTCCAATGGAAAAAGAGCTTAATATTTTAAAGTCCTGGGTACTCAGAAAGCCTGTCTTCATGACTCTCTGGAAGTGGAAGGATAGAAAGAGGACTGAGGAGAGAGGAGGTCAATTACAAGCTCTGCTGTTCCCCGCCAAGGCCGTGGGGAGGAGCCCGTCTCTTACAGCTGCTTGGCTTCCACCCTCTCGGCTAGGAGCTGCCACCATTTAAATTTCTCATTCAAGGTCAGCACCCTATTGGAGAGTCTGACAGGACATCACAAGCCTCCAAACAAAAACAAGGCAATCAAGACAATGGTAGAAGACATCTTTCTCTCATAGACCTGCGGCTCTGGGGAAGCCAGCCGCCATGCTGCAAGTAACACTGCAGACACCAGGGTAAGGAGCTGCTCCTCCTGCCCACTCTAGTAGGGGAGAGGTAAGGCGTGCAGGCACCACGGGCCTGAGTAGCCTAATGGAGGCTACTCCACTACTCCGCTCTGCTTAGGCCGGAGGCGACCGTGGTCCTGGTTAACTGGTCTGACCACAAACTCATGAGGGGCTATGAACGAGAACCAGCCAGCTAAGCTTCAGACCAGAAAGCTGTACAATGACACAGGCAAAGTGAGGAGCTGGAAACCTCCCAACAAATAAGCATCATCAACCAAGAATTCTGCATCTTACAAAGTTCTTCTTCAAAAATGAAATGAAGGCATTGCCAGATAAATAAAAGCTGAGGATGTTCACAGCTAGTATATCTGCCGTAAGAGAAATACCAAAGGGAGTCCCTCAGGCTGAAATGAAAGACATTAGACAGTAACTCAAAGCCATATGAAGAAATAAGAACTCCAATAAAGGTAACTACCTAGGTAAATATAAATAAAAGCCAATATTATTATACCTTTGATTTGCAGTTTTTCATTTTGTTTCCTATATGACTTAGACAAATGCACAAAACAATAATTATAAAACTATATTAACAGAAACTTAATATATAAAGATATGATGTGTAACAAGAACATAATGTTGGTGATGACAGCTATACAGGAAGTTTTTGTGAATTATTGGAATTGAACTAGAGCTGGCACAGTGGGAGGCTGTAATCCCAGCACTCAGGAGGCTGAGGCAGGAGAACTGCCATGAGTTCAAGGCCAGCTTGGGCCACATAGCAAGACCCTGCCTTAGGAAAAAAAAAAAAAAAAAAAAAAAACCTGAAACTGTATCAGTTAAAACTAGATTGTTAAAAACTTATGAATGTTAACTATAACCCTCATGTCACCACTAAAAATTATATACAGAAAAGTAAATGAAGAAAAGTATGAAAATGGTACAACAATATAGAAGGCACAACTGGAGAAAATGAAGAAAAACCACAAAAATATGTAAGATATGTAGAAAACAAATAACAAAATGTTTAAAGTCCTTCCTTCTTAGTAATTGCTTTAAATGTCACTGGATTAAACTCACCTTGAAAGACAGAGCATGGCAGAAGAACTACAACAGGTGATCCAACACAATGCTGACTGCTATAGCCTCATTTTATAATGAAAGACATATAAGAAGGTTGAGAGCAAAGGATGAAGAGACAGTTCATGAAAACAGTAACTGAAAGAGTGCAGGTCAGTTATCACGAGACAGCACTGACTTAAAGTCACAAAGCTTTACGAGAGACAGAACAGAGGTTATTATATGTGGACAAAAGGGCCAATTTAAAAGACGATATAATAATTTTAAACATATAGCTATCAAACAAGAGAATCCCAAACATATGAAGTAGTATTGACAGGAGTGAGAAAAGAAATAGGCTGCTCTACAATAACAGCTGAGGCTTTAACACCTCATTGTAAGTTACAGATATAGCAAGCAGACAGACACAGCATGAAAAGGGATATAAAGTACTTGAACACTATAAATGAATTAAAGAAAACAACAACAGTACGCACTTTCCTCAAGTATACGGAGAACGTCTTCCAGAACAGATCACATTCTAGGATACAAAACAAGCACAAAATACTAAAACTTAGGTGATACAGTGGAAACGGTGAAGATAAAAATTCATAGCTATCAACAAGTGTGTATAAACAAAAAAGACCCCAAATCAATCACTTAACTAACTTTATACTTGAAGAACCAGTTAAAATAAAACCCAAA